GAAGCCAATGGATAAGATTTATATAGTGGCTTAAGGTCTACCAAAGGTTTACCATATTCATTCATGTATTTCCTAACACAACCCTGTGTAACAGGTGCTATTAATATTTCCATTTTGTAGATGAGGACAACTAAGGCTGAGAGAGGTTAAATGCCTTGCTCAGAGTTCCTAGGCTAATAAATGCCTGAGGCAGGGTTCAAACCCGAGTTTAGCATTTTTTCCACTGTATCACTTGTTTATTATTAATAGGTTGGAACAGATTGGTTCAAAATGTAGCTCTCTCTTGAAAAAGAACAGTGCCTTTTAATGGTTTAGACTCGAATTTACAATGCAGAAGGTATGATCTTATCTCCAACTTTCAAGGGGTTTTAAGGAGAAGACTATAGAGATTCTAGTAAGGAGGATGCTAATTAACTACACCGATTAGATAAGAAATTGTGGGGAGGGCTAGCAAATAGCACTTTTCTCCCTCTCACCTTTCCTCCATTCTTTTTCCATCCTACCCTCCTTCCCTCAATTTTCTTTCACCTTCTCTCTGCCAGGTTTGGAGCTGGGAGACCAGTATAATCCTCTATCAAAAGAGGTCCAAAAAGGCTCAAGGGAGGTAATATAATTCTATTCTAAATGCATCAATGCTTGTGAAGTTCTGTCTTTAGAATTACCATTGGAAACTATCTCTTCAGCTTATGAAGTTCTTTTTGATGGATTTGCATATTTGTACTGAGATAGAAATCTCCCTGAAAGTCCTTTCACTTGTAAGCCCTCATTAAATATTTCTCTCTCTCTCTCTCTCTCTCTCTCTCTCTCTCCCCCTCTCAAGTTCAATCGTCTTTTCCAGTATCATTTAGCCAAAAGTATTCTACTTTGCTCTATTTAAAGATGATAGTTGTGGGCTGGGAGGGGGTAGAGATAATCTTGGTACCCAAATCCTTTACTAGAACAATGCTCTTAACAAGCCTTCTGTCCTGTGGTGCCTGCCAATGGGAGTGACAGCTGATCAGCAATGGGGGTATAATTTATCTTAACCTGGTGACTTGAACTAATTGAGGGTAAAATGATGCTCTCTTAGTTCCTTATTTATCATGGTTCTCCTTTAGCTATTTCTGTTTTATTCTCCACAGTCTAAAGATTGCTGTGGTAGAGAAAAGAGAAACAAAATAAGATGTGAGTAGTTCTGCGTTTCCCCCATCCACTGTGATCATAACACATCTCCTAAGCAGTGGTATTCTTGTCCTTAGTGTAGGTACAAAAAAAAATCATTTTTGTTGTTATTTTGTTTTTAAGCTCCTGATATTATCTTTATTGGAATATATAACATTTAAAAATTAATTCTCATTTATTTTTCCTCACTTTCATATGTTGAAGCACATGCTCTGAGGCTACTTTTCCCAACTTCTACTCACACTGGCAGGCTGGGTCCCCAGAAGGAGGCCGATTATTTTCCCTCTTAAAGTTGCAGGCTTAACTGGGAGAAGCTAGAGGTGGTTTTCTAATACTCTATCTCATAAGCTCCCACCTTTTACTTTCCCCATTGATTATCAGATGATGTCGATTAGTCAGCCAGACTTAATAGCTATTAGAAACAGGCATTTATTAAGATGGTAAAAAAGAGTTGGTTCAAAACATCGTCCCAAACCAGGAGCAAACTTTCTTACCAGTGAATATAGAGTCCAAGGGAAGGTGGACTGCAGCTTAGAGAGCACGTGGGGCAAAGGGGTAACTAGTAGCTCCATATTGGAGTTACTGATGGGAGTCCTTTTCTCCCTTTGTGAAGTCATCATGCTCTTTTCCTTAGGTAATGTATAGCTTTCTTCTGGGCTCCTTGTAGAGTCATAAAGCTGCCTTTCCTAGTGTATTTCACTTAACCTTCCAATGTAGACACTCCTGTCAGCCACTGTAGTTCTAGGGGTCACTGCAAGGATACCCACTGGGAGCACTAGCTCTTAGATACTATTTAGCATATTAACTAAAATCCATTTATCATTAAGTCTTAAAGTGTTTTTAATGGAAGTTATTACCATGTTTAGTTAAATTGTGTTTCTACATCCATAGTTGCAATCATGTAATTTTATTATTTTTGTTATTAATATGCTCTCTTATGCTTAGTGTTCCTAACATTGAAGCATAACTGCATGATTTAAACCCAATCTTGTCATATTAAATATTTTAGATAATCTTTCATTTTGTATTCTTTTTTTTTAGGCAATTGGGGTTAAGTGACTTGCCCAGGGTCACACAGCTAGTAAGTGTCAAGTGTTTGGTCTGAGGCCAGATTTGAGCTCAGGTTCTCCTGACTTCAGGGCAGGTGCTCTATCCACTGCGCCACCTAGCTGCCTTGCTAATTATTCTTTAAACAGTTGATAGAGTTCATTTATAAATCCTTTCAGCTTTTTTCATTTTCAGTTTAGAAAAAGACTAGAATTTATTAGTATACCATCCAACAAATAATCCATGACATAGAGGTATATTGCTGTACCAAATACATTATGGGTAGCTAACAAACATTAAACAGTTGACTCAAAAACATAAAAGAAAAGAAGAACTTTTGTCGTTCACTTATTTCAGTTGTGGTCAACTCTTTGTGACCCTATTTGGGGTTTTCTTGCAAAAATACTAGAGCTGTCTGCCATTTCCTTCTCCAGCTCATTTTTATTGATGAGGAAAGTGAGGCAAACAAGGTCACACAGCCAGTAAGTGTCTGAGGTTGGATTTGAACTCTGGTCTTCCTGACTTTAAGCTCAGTACTCTATACACTGCACCACCTAGCTTCCCCCACCCCCCGAAAAAAGTTTACCTTATTATCTTAAAAGTTGTGAAATATTTCTAATAGTAATAGCTCCCCATATAGTGCTGTGGAAAGTACACTGCTTTAATCAGGAAAATGAGGTTTGAATCTGTACTTGGTCTCTTACTGTATGACATTGAGTTAATCACTTATGCTTTTTAACAGACTCCTAATCTCTAAAATGAGAGACTGGACTTCTGAGGTTCCTTCCACTTCAAAATCTATGATCCCATAAAGCCCAATATAGTTTTGGAAAGTGCTTTGCTTGCCCCAGGTACCTCCCCCACCCCGCCCTCTTTTCAGCTTTCTTTTGTGTTTTTTCTTCCTTCGTTAGAATGTAAGCTCTTTGAAGGCAGGCACATTTTGTCACTCCCCCTTAGCAAGCAGCTGGTAAGAGCTTAATATCTGCTTGTTTGCCTCTTACTGGATCCTCTCAGCAATGATTTGTAACTTCTATAAGCATCAAAGAAAATTTCCATGTCAGCAAATTTTTGAACGCTAGAAATTTCTGAAAAATTCCTTTTTCTCTGTTTCTAGTATATACCAAGTTGAATTCAGGGAGTTCTATTTGAGATTTTTTTAAATTAAAATTTAACTTAATTAAAAAAGACAAAGAATTTGTTGGATAATTTTCAATTCTGGTTGGCAAAGAAAAAAGACACAAGCTAGACTATATCACAAAATATACAGTATTTATTTGGACAAATCAGTCATGGCTTTAAACATTCAATTTAATTATCATAAGTGAACAGGCATGTTTAAAATAAGGACATTGGATTCTGTTCTGAGTTGTTAAGTTACTATTTAGATAGGAGATAATGACATAGCAGGACCATTCGATGGAAGATACAGTTCATGAAGTAATGGCGTTATTCACATTGAGCAAAGAGAGAAACAAAAAGATTGATTTATCCTTTATGACTTTACGTTTACATACACAGAAGAGGGTAGCAGTTATCTACTAACAGTACAGAAATGTCATGGGCACAGATTTCAACTTGGTGAATTTATAAAATGGATCTATAAACTCTTTAAACTTTTAAAATATGAATGAAACAATCATCAGTAAGTATAAACACTTCAATATTCAAAGAAGAGGATTACATAAGAAACTGTGAACTTTTCATTCAGTCATTTTTTCAGTTGTGTCCAACTCTTCATGACCCCATTTGGGCTTTTCTTGGCAAAGATACTGGAGAGATTTGCCATTTTCTTCTCCAGCTCATTTTACATATGAGGAAACTGAGGTAAACAGGGTTAAGTGATTTGCCCAAGCCCACACAACTAGGAAGTATCTGAGGCTGGATTTGAATTCAGGTCTTCCTGACTGCAGGCCCGATACTCTGTCTACTGCACCACCTAGATGCCTATGAGCTTCTTTTACACATAGTTTTTAAAAGTGTATGTTAAATTTAACAAGGTAGTAACAAAACTACTTGTTTTTCTTCTTTCTTATTCTTCTTTTTGTTTTTTTCTTTGTATTTTAAAAATATTTTATTGATTTTTTTGCATTGAAATCTATCACTATCCACTACTTGCCTCGCTTCACCCCCAACCGAAGTTGTCCCTTATAATGAAATAGGTAGTCAAGAGAAATAAATCAACATATTGGCCATATCTGAAGATGTACGCCTCATTCTATACCACTTGTCTGTCACTCCTCTGCCAGGAGATGGGTGAAAAGCTTCTGAAATCACAATTGATCACTGCTTTGATCAGAGTTAAGAAGTCTTTCAGAGTTGTTTCTTTTTATACTATTGTGCTCAAATAAATCCTAATAATTAATACACTTTAAGTGGTACCCATCCTTCTTTTTCTCCCCCAAGGATGCGAGGATCAAAGTGTTTTGCTTGGTTCAAGAGACATAGATTAACAATCTTGACATTGTTAAAATCACATAACTATTTCTCTGCCCATTTGTGAAAATGGGAGATAGGTGCTCTGATGGCATTTGACATTGTAAGATGCAAGGTATTTCCAAAGACTGAAATTTTACCATTTGTCATATTTTGAGGCAGCTAGGTGATACAGTAGATAGAGCACTAGATCTCAATTCAAATCTGACCTCCAATATTTACTAGCTATGTGACCTTGGGCAAGTCATTTAAACTCTGTGTGTATTAGTTTCCTCATTATAAAAATGGGGATAATGTGAACACCCATTTCCCAAAGTTGTTGTGAGGATAAGAAGAAATAAGATTTGTAAAGCATGTGGCAAACCTTAAAGCCCGATATAAATACTAGCTATTATTATCACTTTGTCTTAATGACAGAAATGTTCATTTTTACACTCTGGAGTGGACAGTAACAATTCTTATATCCGAGGGCAATTTGAGAGAGAAATTTCTTTTGCCATAATATAAGCTTGCCTTTGAAAAATCAAGTAATCCAAACACAGATTTGATCCATTTATAGACCTTTAGACTCCATTAGAATATTCTGAAAATAAAAGGGTAGGAAAATGTTTTATTCAATAATGGATTAACAATATAAATGTTTCATCTAATATCTAGTGACAGCTCTATTCAGAAATCTTTCAAAGAATCAGTCACTCAGAATAATAAAGTCAGAAGTGTTCATTCATAGAGGAAAAGTCAAAGAAATATTTGAAAGTTCCGAATTTACTTGGCCGACCATTTTTCGTTGAGCCACGGTTATATAGGCTTACCCCTTCTTGGTTTTTTAATTGATCTGCATAATGTAGTTGAGATTTTACTTCCTTAATTATCTTTTCTCCAACAGAAACCGTACTCCTTATCTACCTGGAACCGAGGGGAAAGCTGAAAGAAAAAAAGGAAATCTTCATTTCAGATAAGGGTCACATTAGACTGTGACCTTTGTCTTCTATAGTCATATCAATCAATCAACAAGCACTTTTTAGAATCCCCACTATGTGCCATGAGATAAATATATGCAAAATATGCATGACATAAATACATGTTACTTTTCTTTACCTCCTTTTTAGTCTGAAAAAATCTTTGCTTTGTGAATACATTGAGCTGGTGAGGCTTTTTGTCTTGCAGACAATTCTTTGTTTGATAAGAACATTTTCAAAAGCTCTCAGGAATTATGGACCTTCAGAGAGAAGCTTCACCTTCCTTATGTCAAGGAAAGACTATTCAGATCATCACAGACATGTGGGAGGCCTTTTTATTCTTAAATCTTTAGCTTTGTCCTTTCAGAGTAGTTTACATGTTTTTTATTTTTCTTTTTCATTTTAAAGAGAGTTTGTCTGGCCACACTTACGTAAAGCCAGTTTAGGCCATCTATTATGCCTCAAAGGCTCTCTTATTCGTTCTTTATCCTTTTTTTTTTTTTTTTTTGCTTTTTGGTGAAGCAATTGGGGTTAAGTGACTTGCCCAGGGTCACACAGCTAGTAAGTGTCAAGGGTCTGAGGCCAGATTTAAACTCAGGTTCTCCTGACTCCAAGGCTGGAGCTCTATTCACTGCATCACCTAGCTGCCCCTATCCTTTCTTATTCATTATTATTCATTGCCTCCTGAACAGGAATTTTTTTCCTTTGGTTTTGCAAAAATTGATTTAAATCTACACATACCTTATTGGTAACAGGTGTTCCATACGAAATGTTTTCACTTTGGGCAGTATCTTTAACTGGAAAAACAGAATTTATGTTAACATTTGTAGTTCATTTTATAGGTAATGGACAGGGAAAAAAAGAAGGAAAACCAGTAAGTGATTAAGACTTTATCACCCATAAGGAACCATGACATCATAAAATGTGTTGATCTGTGGGTGGAAGGACAAAGGCTACAAGATTTGTTTAGTTCCTCATCGTGGCATCATAGAGAGAGGAGCCTGGCATTTCCTCTCCTGACATCAGTGACTCCAACCTTAAACGAAGCTCCATTTCAGTGTGAAATTAGCCGTCACTTCTAGACTCTAATATTTGTATTTTATCCTTCTACTTCCCTACTATGCTAGTCATAGAACAAAAATTTTGATTTTCCATGAAAGTCAATGTTAGATTAGTCCATCTATGCCTCAGCTCCAAGACCTGAGAAGACTGCTTTCTACTCTTTGGCTCACTATTTATTCTCCCTGTCTCTCTCTGTCTCCCTCTCTCTCTCCATCTGTCTCTGTCTCTTTATCCATTTCTCTTATTCTTACTTTCCCCTCTCTTGCCCATATATTATATTGGTAGGAAATAATTTGTATTCAGAGTTCCTTTGGATGATGTAGGAAAGATGACAGTCAATTAATTGATATTCTCTTACCATGACTTTGGACAGTGATGCTTCTTTACCTGACATGTACCTCAAATTTGTAGACTATGGTCCTTTAATTATGATACCAGCATTCCCTCATAACTGGCTCATCAAGCCCCATTTCATCATTACTGCTGTCCTCACTTAGGTTGTACCAATGCACCTAGGTACTTTTGGAACACACCTTAGATGTCTATAATGTTTAGCACATAGTAGGAAATCCCAGCTAAATCATTTTTTTTGAGAAGACTTTCCTGATCTTCCTTAATGCAAATGTCTTCTCCTGATGTTATATACAATTTCTCCTATCTATAGCTTGTTGGACATATTTGTTTGCATGTTGTCTTCTCCATTAGACTCTGAGCTCACTGAGGGCAGGGACTATCTTTTGCCTTTCTTTGTATCTCCAGTGCTTAGCACAGTGCCTGGCACTTAATAACCGCTTATTGACTGACTCAGCAGGCCATTATAAACGTTGTTGTTTGTCCTTCGTTCTCGAACAACAACCTTTGTATAATTTCTAGCAAAACACTCACTATTTTTTATGGTACAACTGTACTTTCAAACTGAATCAGTCCGCTGTAGTAGGAAGCACATTGGATTTGGATTTAAAGTTCGTAGACTCTGCATTCTCTCATTTACTACTGCAGTGGGAGGGGTTGGGTAAATTATTTCCCTTCAGAGGCTCCCAGTTTTCTAAAACGAAGTGTCTCTACTTGAAGTCTTGAAAGTTCCTTCCAGCTGTTAATCCTATGATCAATTTCTATCATGCCAACATTTCTTATATCCTTTTCTTAATTTCCACGGCTATAGGACAGGCTTTAAATATAGCACAAAAATATTCCCATCAAATGTCTCTGAAATGAGGGGAGGGAGGAGATGAGTATTCTGCGTTGTTAAAGGTGCATTTCACTAGGAATCCTCTAAACCAGTGAAATCACAGGTCCAATCTTCAAAAAAAAAAAGAAGCTATAGATGATCCCTAAGGTACTGACCTGCCCAGGAACCTTATGATTCTGCTGTTTATATGGATTTTATAGTTGCTTCATTCGGATCAGGATTGCTGCCTTCTTTAAGTTATATTGGGCTTGAGACCAAGCATCATGATTTCTTTTTTGGGGTAGTGTCTGGACCAGTGCTCTGCACATAGTGAGTATTCAATAAATACTGATTGGTTATTGTGTTTTAGTCACTTGGCAGAACCCTAGAGGCTGAACAGAGCTGATGCAAAGGCATCACTTCCTTGTGAACTCTGTCTGTCCCCTGCCCCTCCCTCCTAGCACCAGTAGCCCGGAGAAATTTGAGTCTCAAAATGAAGGCTAGAGATAGACCTAAAGTCAAGTGAAGTAGCCAAGTGAACTCTTGCTGAATTTACTCTTTTTTCAGTATTCACTGATTACAGTCCTTTCCAAACAATCCTAGAGCAACCTATGGCTGTTATTAGACTAGAGTCATTGGGGTCTCAAATTATTTGCATTTATGGATTGGACATCTTTTTCATATACTTACAATCTGGATGGTGCACAATGGTGATTTTATCTGGAAAGGAAAAAAAACCACATGGTAATTAATACTGCTCAATTTGTTCTGGGGGGGGCACAGGTGTAGGCTGTGCCTTTCTCTCCCCTGATCTTCCTTTCCTTCCCTCTTAACATTCCTGTTAGAAGTTACTTTCTCCCTTTGAATTGATTCAGAAATTTCACATGGAATCACACGAAAAATAATAAAGTTCTAATACTGAGCCACTACATTTTAACTAGTCCTTTAATTACCCTGAGAGCAGGGACAAGGTTCTTTCTTTTTTCATCAGTTATTTTCAAATGAGATTTTATCTATCATCTATCTATGTGTGTGTGTATGTGTATGTGTGTATATACACACACATATATATGTATGTACATATACTTATATTCATATATGTAGTGTTTTGCAAACCTGTAGAGATATAATGCTATATAAATATAAATATAATAGCTGTTACAGCCATTGTTGTTCTGTATTCTTCCTTTCTCAGTCTTTGAAGATACCTATGCTTGTTAACTAAAGGTATTTATCCCTGGTACTCTTGAATTTGTGTAGCTCAGTTAGGGTCATAAAAGTGGTCCACTCTCAACATTCTATGTGAGTGGGGCCATGGGTAAGAGTGGAAAATCGTTGGTAATAATTGTCCTGGTAATTTATATTTGGCTTCGGGAAGCATTGTGATTTGTGGGGAAATTTAACTTCTTAATTGTGTTTTCTTTAGACTAGCATTAAATTTGTTTTTCATTTGCTGAGCATGTGGTAATTAATGGAGAGTCTTTCATATAGCATTCTGGGATGTGTGGGAAGCCAACCTGAGTTAATGAGGATGGTTAAGAATAGACCATACCTGTGTGATAAAAGAGAAATAGATAGCTATGAAAGATATGGGATGAATTGTTAATGATTTAACATGAATAGTAATAACTAATTATTAGCATGATTGTATTGGTAATGGGGTACCACAGTCACAGAAGAATTAAGCTTGAGAGTAACCCAGAGGGCAGAGAACATGGTGGGCAAGCATCCTATAGCTAAGGAAGAGTAGCACAGAACCTCTAGCATCAAGGATGTTGTCTGGGAGAGGTATAAATGGGTGAGTCAGTCATGTCACAAGAGCAAGGGACTCCTATATGCTCCGTTTGGAGTCACACAAAGAGATCCTGAGGCATACCCCCCTAGCACAGTGGATAGATCCCATGTTGAGAATTCAGAGGAGGATGGGAACAAAAATAAGCAAGAGGAGAAGTCCTGTGATCTGCTCTGGTGGAGGGAGTACCAACATTGATGAGTTTACAGTGCCACCAAAGAGGCATGAGAGAAAGAACCCTGGGATTTGAAGTTAGGGGACCTGTGTTCGAATCTTGATTCGACCAGTTACTAGCTTTGTGTGGCAAAACTCATCCTCTCTGGACCTCAGTCTCTTCATTTGTAAAATGAGGGGATTGGACTAGATGATTTCTGAGGTTCCTTCCAGCCCTAATTTTATGCTCCTATTCTCCAAATGATAACTAATAACTTTGCTGAACATTTTCAGATGTATCTCATGGGTTAAAAAAATTATGGTAGGTAACTTTAATTTACCATAGAAGTTTTCTTCTTCTGGTCTCTTCCCAATAATGCAGTCTCGGAGCTGTCGTAACTTTTCCTTAAGGAGAAACATCCCCAAATAAATGTTAATAATTGTAGTTTTGTCATGGACTAAAATGGAATGAAGAAACAGATTTTTTTTTTTTTACCAAGTTAACTTCTGTGCTGTAGTGGCATTTGGAAGGTACTCAGGAACAGAAGTAGGAACTCCCAAAACAAGGCCTGCTCTGCCCATCTCCCTTCCCTCCCTGCCCTTGACCCCAACCAACTAGGATGCAAGCCAACATGCAACGTGGACTTATATCTCTGATTATTTTATATTTTATATCCCCCAAGGCTCTCTCCTGGCCCTTCCCCTCCTCCTTTTGTTGTTCAGTTGTTCAGTAGTGTCCAACTCTTTGTGACCACAGCACGCCAGGCCCTTCCATCCTCCATCATCTCTCAAAGTCTTTCCAAGTTCATGTTCATTGTTTCTATGACACTACTCTATATACTGTTTCACTCGGTGATCTCATCAGCTCCGGTAGATTCAATTGATCATTTCTATGAAGGTGATTCACAAATCTCTTTATCCAGCCCTAATCTCTCTCCTGATCTCTATTCTCCCATCTCCAAATGCTTATTAAATATCTCGAACTGACATTTTAAAGTCAACATGCCCCAAACTGACCTCATCATCTTTTCCTTCAATCTCTTCTCTCTTCCCAGCTTCCTTATTACGCTACCACTGCCCCAGTCATTAGGGACACCACCTACATATCATCCTCAACTCCTCACTCTCTCCCACCCCTCCTATCCAATCAATCACCAATACTTGGAGATTCTGCTTTCACAGTATCTCCCATATAGGCCTTCTTTTCTCTATGAACACTGCTCCCACCCTGGTTCAGGGTCTTATCACCTTGTACCTAGAGTACTGGAAAAATCTTCTGGTTGATCTCCTGCCTCAAGTCTCTCTTTCTTTTCAGCTTCCTTTTGTATTTTTTCTTCCTTCGTTAGATTGTAAGTTCCTCGGGGACAGAGGTTGTCTTATTTTTTTCTTATTTCTTCCCCAGCATTTAGTATGGTGCCTGGCACGTATTTAGGCACCTAATAAAAGTTTTTTGCATCGTATCATACACTGTGATCTAGTGACACTGATCTCCTTGCTGTTTCTTGAACAAGACATTTCATTTCCCAGCTCCATGTGGCTTTGCTTTATACCTGGAATTTTCTCCCTCCTCAACTTGGTCTTCTGGCTTCCCTGGCTACCTTCAGCTAAAATCACACTGCCTGCATATAGAAACCTTTTCTTGACCCTCCTAATGCTCATACACCTTCCCTCTCACGTTACCTCAAATTTACCCTGCATATATAGTTTCTGAGGTTGAGACATAGGACAATGTTACAGACTTTGGCAGCAAGAACTTTCCTTTCTGGGTCTTCAGTAGATGTGTCCATAGCACCTGGGGAGCAATCCCTAGGTTGCCTCTCCACAGTGATTGCTTCCCAGGATGATGGCTGAAAGCACTGCTATTCTCAAGCATCTTGGGTTCAGGGCCCTGGGCTGTCTCCAATGGCATCTGAGGGGTGATGGTAGTCAAAGTGGGGGTGGTTTGACTTGCCTGACACATTCTGCCTTCTGCTCCCTCCACTGTACTTTGCATCTGCTGCTTTGCCTGATTTCAACTCCACTGGTGTGTCCCCCATTCTGCCCCTTTCCCCTCCATGCTTCCTTTTGTGTGTGTCTTCCCTCATTAGACTGTAAACTCCTCGAGGGAAGGGATTGTCTTTATTTTTAATACTTATATCCCCAGCACTTAACACAGTGCCTGACATATAGTAGGTACTTAATAAATGTTTTCTGAATTGGATTGAATTATCTCTCCATCATGGGGCCTTGCTTCAGCGGGGCTGGCTTGTCTGCTTTATGGGTCTCAGTTGGTGAGGATGGCTGACCCCTTCTCCATAAGGAGGCATTTCCCTAGATAATGGCTGTGAAGACTGGGCCTGAAGTAGGACCAGTGGTTTGGGGTCCTATTCTTATCGCTTATTGATGGTACTTGGTCAGAAATTGTTGCTGGGGGTCATGAGGAAAGTAGCCCCTTCTTTCCAAAGATTTCTTCCTCTCATTGATGGCTGTGGAAGGCTAGGTTGGAAGAATACTCCTATTCCCAAGGTTCCTGGGCTCAGGGTTCTGGGTGATAGTGGAGGTGATGATTCGACTGGGCCGGAGGCACTGTCTCCTACTTCTCCCTCAGAGTACCGTGCTGCTTTAGCTAGGCTGACGTGCTCATCTTATGTGTGAATGTTTGTTGGCAGTTGGTGGGGATGACTGGCCCCTTCTTCACAGGACTTGTTTTCCTGCATGATGGCTGTGACGTCTGGGCTAGAAGCAGAACCCTTGATTTGGGGGATGGGGAGAAGGCACTGTTGCCACTTCCTGTGCCTCTCATGAAACACTTCTTATCCTTTCAAATTTATCCGGCACAACACCATTCCCCAGTCTCTCTTGTTCTGTTAGAAAGTCTTGGACTTACCAAAACGCTTATTCATCTTCAAAATCTGGAGAAAGCTAGATCTAACCACCTTTACCCACAACTAGGACTGGCCTTAGGCAAATACAGAGTAGACATTTGCTTACGTGAGGTGATTTAAGGACTGGTCCCTGCTCTGAATCATTTCTCAAATGCCACACTGGCTAAAACACAATTAGAGATTTGTTCCTTTGGTTAACTAATTACCTCGAAAGCTATTTTCTTTTAAGTGACATTTTCTTTGGGATGGGCAACATAGTACATTCGTATCAGTCATTTATTTGGTGTGGGTTATTTAATGAATTGTTTCCCCTTAAGAGCACTGAGAGAATTGAATGTTTTTGTGGGAAGAAGGAGGGAGGCATAATTTTAGAATCAGAGTAATGTTCCATGGAGATCAATCCTAGACATTAGCTAACAGAGGTACGTAAGCTACCTTGGTGGTGGGGACTGCCAGGACGTGAAGACGGGGAAAAAAAAGAAAGAAAAAGAAAAAAGAAAAAGGAAATAGGAAGTTGCTGGAAAAAAGAAAAAGAAAAACAAAAAAGTTCCATCAAAGTCATCATTCTAATTCAGCTCTTTCCAAGTCTTGCAGACATAAACTCACTTATCTCTAATTTTCTCACTGCCCACACAGTTCTTAGGTCTGCACTTCCTAAATGTGCTATGGTATAAACTCATAGAGCACTATGAGTTCAACCTAGTTATTTAATAAATGAAACCCTTAGGTATTCTTTTGGCCTAGGGACGCTGTGAAAAAATACTGAGACCCTGAGCCTGCCATGCCATGAAATGAGAAAGTTTGGGAAACTCTGACTTAGGTTAATGGAGCACAAAGAATGAATACTCTTATAAACCCACCAGAAACACAGTTATCTTTGGAGTAGAATACAGAGTTAAGAATGGGGGTGGTAGGGGCAGCTAGGTGGTCCAGTAAATAAAGCTCTGGCCTTGGAGTCAAGAGGACCTGAGTTCAAACCTAGACTCAGACTCTTAACACTAGCTGTGTGACCCTGGGCAAGTCACTTAACCCTGATCACCTCACCAAAAAGCAAAAAAAAAAAAAAAAGAATGGGGATGGTAGAGTCAACTAGATTTGTTTTGGGGATTATTGTCTGTTTAGTCTTTAGGTCATTTCTTTAAGGTTTTTTTTTTGTTTTTTTTTTTTTGTGAGGCAATGGGGTTAAGTGACTTGCCCAGAGTCACACAGCTAGGAAGCGTCAAGTGTCTGAGGCCAGATTTGAACTTAGGTCCTCCTTACTCCAGGGTGGGTGCTTTATCCACTGCACCATCTAGCTTCCACCCCCCCTTTTTTTTACTTTGAGTTATTCTTTTCTTTTCTTTCTTTTTTTTTAAGTTCATTTCTTTAATCGCCTGATGTACTTATTCTTTCTTCTAGGTGTTGGACCTATTCAGATGTGCCTGACTGCCTTCTACTTAATCTTGGGAATGATTTTCTTGAAACATTTAGACATGTTAAAAATCAACCTTAGGAACTGAATAAATATTTGTGTAGAAACAAACAATCTCAGAGTTAAATGCACCAGGTATTTGTCAATCTGGAATGTGCTCATTTAAAAGCTTATCCTTAGAAGTATTAAGACATTTGGTTTGTGAATAGATAGAAGTTCCAACGCCTGCATTATCATAGTTTTGGGCTGTGTTAAGTGTTTAACAGTTGAGGGATGAGATGCTCAGTGACTAGAGATAATCTCTGGGGACAGCCATGGGGCCTGGTTACCTGCTGAATAACTTCCAGTCCACTTTTTTCAGTTTGCCACTGTTTGAATTTCTTCAAGGCTTCATCCATAGAAATTTCTCCAGTTTTTACTTTTTCCTGCAAAAGAATGAGTTCTTCTTGGCCAGAGGGTATGCAGCACTTCAGGGCAGAACACCGTTGATTGTCCATTCCGATTCTATCTAGATTGGTGCAAGGGAGAGAATTTGGAAACATCAGTCAACATTTGGACATTTTTGTTTTGGATTTCCCTCTCCCCTTAAATATTCATTAGCAGTTGCAAAGTAGATTATTAGATGTAGTTCAAAGTAGGTCAAATCGATGATTTATGACAATTGAGACCCTGAAACATTCATGGGGCATTAAAAATATGGAACTCACTATACAGGGAGATGATCACTCCCTCTTCCTATTGTGTTGTTGGCTGATAAGCTGGCCACCAGCATCTGACTAGCTATCTCAGACAGACAGTGGTAGAAAATGCAGAAACATTAGAGGATACTGGATACAGTTTCCCTATCCCACGCCTGTTGATGAGAAAAAAAAGGCAGGGAAGCAGGATCTTCCGAGGAGGCAAAATGTTTCCAATTAGAGGCAGTTAAATGGTGCCAGGTATAGAGCACTGGGTCTAGAGTTAGGGAGACCTGAGTTCAAATCTGACCACAGACACTTAGCAGCTGTGTGACTCTGGGAAAGTCACTTTACTTCTGTCTGCCTCAGTTTCAGTTTCCTCAGCTGTAAAATGGGATTCATAATAGTATCTAACACATGGGGTTATTGTGAGAACTAAATAAGATTATATTTATAAAGCACTTAGCATGATGCCTGGCACATAGTAGGCTCTTAATAAAAACTTGTTTCCTTCCTTTTCCACTTCTTTTTTTAAATAACATTTTATTTTTCCCCAATTACATGTTGAAACAATTTTCAACATATATATTTTTAAGTTTTGAATTCCAAAGAAACATTCTCCTCTCCCCCCAGATGGTAAGCAATCCAATATAGGTTATACATATGCAATCATGTAAAACATTTACATATTAGTCATTTTGTAAGAGAACACTCAAACAAAATAAGAAAGAAGAAAGAAAGAAAGAATAACAAAAGGAAGAAAAATAGTATGCTTTAGTTTGTATTCAGTTCTTTCTCTGGAGGTGAATAGCATGTTTTATCATGAGTCTTTTGGGATTGTCTCGGATCATTGTATTGCTGGGAATAACTAAGTCATTCACAGTTTTTCACTATTCAATATTGCTGTTTCTATGCACAATGTTCTCTTAGTTTTGCTCACTTCACTTTGCATCAGTTCAGTTAAGTCTTTCCAGATTTTTCTGAAAGCACCCTACTTGTCATTTCTTACAGCACAATAATACTTTACTACAATCATATACCACAGCTTGTTCAACCATTCCCCAATTGATGGGCATCCCTTCAATCTCCAATTCTTAACTACCACAAAAAGAACTGCTATAGATATTCTTGTACACATAGGTGCTTTCCTCCTTTTTTGGGGGGTATGATATCTTTGGGATATGGATCTAGCAGTGGTATTGCTGGATCAAAGGGTTCTACAGTTTTATACCCTCTTTTCTCACTTCTACAGAAATATCCAATCACTAGTGAATAATGGTGAATCACATGATTTCAGAGTTGGGAGTGATCTCAGAAGTCATCTTGTACAATTTCCCTCTGAGTAAGAATCCTTTTAACAGCATCCTCTGCAGCTGGACATAGACTATTTGCTTGGACATCTCCAGTAAAGAGTAATCCAAAATCTCCAAAGGCAGCCAATTCTACTTCTAGATAGCTTTCATTGAAAGAAAGTTTTTTCTATACATAGGTCTAAGCCTTCATCTTTGCCACATCCCACATCCACTCCACCGCTCTTTATTTTACCTTCTCGGTAAACTGGAAAAGTTTAATCCTTCCTTTATGTGACAACCCTTCAAATACTTGAACACAACTCTCATGGCCCAAACTAAGAGTTCTCTTTTTTAGAATAAATATCCCAGGGTTATTTTTTAAACCAAACTTCATATGGCATAACCTTGAGACCTTTACCATCCTGGTTGCTCTATTCTGACACTTATCCATATTATTCTTAACATGTGAAGCCCAGAACCTAAATTAATGTTGTCAGACCAGGGCAAAGTATAGGAAGGCTATCACCTGCCTTCAATATTCATCCCTTAATGTAACCTAATATTGCATTTGCTTTTTTGTTTCCATGTTACACTGTTAGCACTTAGAGTGTTAGTCCACCCAAATCTCCAGGTCTTGATTCAGATAAACTTCTGGTTGGCCATGAATTCCCTATCTTGCATTTTTTGACATTTTTTTAAAATCTAAGAGTATTACATCTCTCCTTGTTCGATTTTATCATAATAAAGTTGGCCCAGTGCTGTAGGTTGTCAAGATTTTTGAGAATCTTGATTCCATCATCTACTGTATTAGTTATTCCTCCTAGCTATCTACAGATTTGATAAGCATGCCGTCTATGTTTTTGATAAAAATGTTGAATAACAGGAATAAGAAAAGAGCCATGGGACCTTCCTTCTAAGTTGATGTTAAAATGATTACTCTTTGGATAAATTGACATAACCAGTTTCAGATATGCCTAACACCTAATAATGTAGCCAGTATCTCTCCATCTTTTCCACAACATCAGCAGGTGAGACAGTTACTGAAGCAGAGAGAAGACAGTGAGGTTACAGTTTCAGAGTTGGGAGTTACTCTGAACACATGGGTTTTCTTCGCTCATGCCCTGTCAGGAAGTATCCTCAACAAATACCGAGTGCATTGGCAGGAAAGCATGACCAAGTTTATGTAAGGACTGTGATGTATTTATAATTTAAGCATTTACTTTGATACATGTGATGTTATTATTTCTTTTGCTATATAGTTAAATAAATGGTTATGTTCAAGATGTAAAAGTATTATTCTCATGAGTGGCTGGTTGTACAAATGGAACACGGTGATATTTAGCTCAGAGCTAAAGTGATGAGTAGAAGTATGTTCCCTCACAACAGGTTTTTCCTTAGGACCCTGAGAGAATTTGAGTGTAATTTCATGATAGTGGTCTTTTTCTGGGCAACTTGACCTGCTGTGTCCATATACCCTCTAGGAGAGGTGTAAGGTACTATCTGCCAGTTTTTTCAGGACCCTAGAACGTAATTCATGTAGGCTGCTAACTTGAAATTATCAAGGACAGTTTGGTTCTCTCTCCCTCGATATCTTGTATATGAATTTCTTATTATCTACTGATTGTTTTGTCCTTTACAATCCAAAGATAATTCTCTGTGGAAGAGGAAACAAGCGTAATAAAAGCTGGATAACTGTTCCTTCTATTGATTTGGGCTATCATCACATTAATCACCCCAAACAATATTCACATCCTTTAATTCTCTTCTTTCCTCCAATATTGCTTTAAAAACCTTTTTTTTTGTTTTTAATTTTATCAGCCTTAGTCCATTCTGAGCTTATGCTCCTGATATTATCCTTACACATTGTTGTATGCTTTTGTATTTATCCTTTGTCACCTGTTCAGTTATGTCCCACTTTTTGCGACCTTATTTGGGGTTTTCTTGGCAAAGATACTGGAGTAGTTTGTCATTACCTTATCCAGCTCCTTTTACAGATGAGGAAACTAAGGCAAACAGGGTTAAGCAACTTTCCCAGGGTCACACAGCTAGTAAGTGTTTGAGGCTGGATCTGAATACAGGAAGATGAGTCTTCTTTCTAGTACTCTATCCACTGTGCCACCCAGCAGTTACCTGTGCTTGCTTCCGTTGGGTGCATGTTTTAACAATTAAATTAGTTCTTGAATTTCCTATGCTTCCACATCATTATATTTAGGCAACTTCTCATTTTTTCTCTTTTTGTGTCTTGAGAATATCATTCCTTAGAGCTTCCCATCTCTCCTAAGTTGATTTCCCTTGTATAATTTAGTCCATGGGATCTTACTGATCACTTCTCTCTTTTGCTCTCTTAAATCTAGGGTGTATTTCAGAACATGCCTGGCTTCCCTCATCTTTTCTCTTATAAATTCCAATATGATGAAGCAGTCATCTCCCATCATTTCCCGTGCAAAATGAATTGTTCCTCTACCTTTTGAATGACGGAATTATCATTAAGGTAAATCAAGAAATGTTTGGCTGCTCTGCTTTTGATGGAGAAAAAAAGCAGCTTTAACAGATGTCTGTGTAATCAGAGTCCTCGATAATTACTCTGCTATGTCACCATGATAGGTTTTGTGATCTGTTTCCTAAACTTTTCATCTATTTTCTTTTTCTTTCTAGGTTGTTGATAGCAAACGCCAATGACCATATTGCTTCTGTTTGTGCTTCTGTTGATCTTTACCCAGATGTTCTCCACACTATTTCAATTTCTAGTTCTTACATTCTTTCACAAAAATATGTCTTTTTATATAAAATGCTACCCAACCCCCTTTAACTTATCCTGTTTCTTTTGAATTAAGCATCCTTCTAGAACAATGTTCTGGTTACTCCTCTTATTCTACCAAGTACCATTGATATCTGTGAAGTTAAATATGCCTTCTTGCATTTGGATATCTAGTTTACCTTGCTTATGATCTCTGCTTTGTACACTTGTGGTATTAATACCAGAGGCTGTGGGTCATACTGTTCTTAGATAACAAATAACATTTTCAAATGATTGAAGGAAATGCTAAATTTCAGTTAGGTTAGTGAAAATAAAGATGTAATTTTTTTTTTCCAATCTTATAGACCCCATGACAGCTGTCAATGGGCCTCAGGTTAAGAACTCCTGATTTGTAGCATCTAGTATGGTGGATATACATAGACAATTTCCCTCTCCTTTACTCTTTTTAATCTGAAGCTCCTTTGATTAGAATCCTCAACCTGCTAGTAAGTGTCTCACCCCCCCTCTAGATTCATAGTGAAGGAAGCATTGAACTACCCTCAAATGGTTGATATTTCTAAATACCTTGCTGTGGTCTTGGCCTTCATCAGTATATGGTTATATCATTTTTACTTTGGACTGGGAAAAGCACACTTAGGACCAGTATATATTCTATCATCAATGTTATTAAGGGATCAGAAGAGCACAAGAGCATCTACCAGGACATCATTTGGGGATATTCTTTTGTAGAGCCCCCAATTTTATTTGTAAAAGTCATTATAAAGTATGTTTCATAATTTAT